TTGCTGCCTCTGAAGCGCAGCGCGTGCCTGTAGCTGAGGGAGGTGCTGTCGAACCAAACGGCTGAGTTCTGACACACGTATGTGAAGCTCTGGTGAGCCGTGGCGCTCAAGAGCTTCAGGAAGCCCAGCTGCACAATGTGAACGGGGTTTCCATCCACATCCACATAAGAGAACTACACAACACAGACAGACAGAGTGTGAATGAGAGCACAGAAGATAAAGACACACAACACAATAACACACACACACACACACACCTGTGAGCCCTTCTTAAACTGGCTGAACCAGGTTCCTGGTTTTTCTCTGCTCCATGAAGCCATTTTGACCTGTGCACATTATAAACATCATTAACACATTTCTAAACACACACAGCATATATAAAAGGCATATATGAAAGTTCGTCTAATTCAGTATTTCTCAACCTTTTTGGCTTCCCCCCATATCCACAAAAATTGGACAGCTTTGTTGTGGTTGTGACCTCAATAAATTAAAATGTAAAAAAGTGAATTCATATCCGCGGTCAATGTGATTTGAATCTCTCACCGTCTGTACGCTGCTGTGCGGCTGGAGGCATGTTTCACCTTCTGCTGTAAAGTTACAGAACACTTTAAACGAATCTCTATGACATCCCTGGTTGGGGTCAATCCAGTAAACTCCTGAGGTCAAAGGTCACACAGAGAGAACCGATTCAGAATACACAGGATGATGATGATCCCTCCAGTGTTGCAGACTAAGAAAGCACTGGAACAAGTGTAAATTATTGTTTGAATGTGCGTTGTGTTCGTACCGTCGGGATACTCGGGGTGGCACATCCACAGCTCTTTGCAGGTGCGGGCAGGACTGTGGTAGGTGCCCAGTGGAGTCCGGAGTCCCTCCACATCCGTCCTCATGGAGGCCAGAGACGCAATCACCTCCTCCATGTCCTTCTCCTCGCCCTGAGCCTCCTCGTCCTGCGTCTGACTGTCCTCCATCGCCGCTCCATCCACATCCAAATGCCTCCTCCGCTTCCCTCGGCCATCCAGCGCCGGAGGAGCCGCCATTCCCACCGCAGGAAGACCCTGGATAGAGATGAGGAGATGTTTAGTTCCATCACTCGTTCAGTTAATGCTCCTTCTACCATTAGTTTTCATCTAATAATGAGTTTATGGGCGACTGGAGACTCACCGGGGGACCAGGGGGTCCAGCAGGACCAGGATCTCCTCTGGGTCCAATAGGGCCCTTAAATAAACCACATAATTCATACAGATCACATGAGGTATTCAGTATCTGCTGGTGTTTAAGAACTCAAGACTGATGGGAACACTTGGGCTGCATTTACACTGCACAGATCAGATCTTTTGACCACATAAACGTTTTTTTGGCCCACCTGTTTACATTCACTTTGACTGGTATCCGATATCTGT